GCAGGCTTCTAAACACTGGAGGTGACAGTCTACCTCTTAGACAGGGCGGCAATCCCCAGTATATTTCATCATTTAAATCCACATACGTTTCACGTGTCTGTGAAACATCAGAGTATATGCTCTGTCTTACAATAAAATGGGCATATTTTTCCAGAGGAAATCATGACGGAGACAAAACACCGTGCACTACCCAGTGATAAGCAAAAGAGGAGGTCTGAAGGTTGCAAGTCCGAAACCACAACTGTATTCTAGAATCTTATGTGTGGGGGAGAAAAAAGCAGGGTTCATACATAAGTTCATCTCTTGCCTTTTGCCCTAGTTTCTCATAATGGCGAAACATCATCTAATAAAAGCTTGTTTTTGTTCTTCTGAGGCAGAATCTTGCTGTGGAGTCCAGGCTGGCCTCCAGCTGCTGTCTAATGCATCACAAGGTGGCCTCAAACTCTCTGCTTTCTCCCTGTCAGTCCCACATGTGTCGTCACGACAGCATGTACCGCTTAGCCCAGCTATAACCCTGACAGTGTGTTTTTTTTTTAACTTCAACTTGCTTTTGCATCTGCTATATCATCTGACTTTTATACTGACGCCTTAAGGGGAGTTAACCTTAAATGATCACTCCGTGGATTGGCAAGATGAGGTAAGCATGTCGATGATTTGCGAAGTCACCCAGTTGCTGGAGGTCAACCTGTGGGCAGTTCTCAGACCTACCTTGTCCTGCTAACACTGGAACTTCTACGACTTGACCTCAGATTCCTAGAGTCCTGGGATCTGCTCTCTCAAGTGGGAACAGCTGCTACCTACATTTGGCCGTGTGGTCCAAAGTTCATGTCTATGTACACTACATCCTCAAAAGATGCAGCCCCTGCCTGGGTGCTGTGGTGACCTCCCCTCCGGCTGGGTATCCACAGGAGTCGAGATTTTTAAAAAGTTGAGAGTGAAGCAGAAAAGAGAGGACAGGCTGTGTCTGAGAACCAGATCTGACAGCATGTCTCAGCTGTAGTCTCTAGAGAATGAGTTAGTCACTGTTCCATGCAACAGTTTTCCCTGGAGCCAGCTCTTTCGGGTCTCGGAAGTCTACAAGGCAGTTGGGTGACTTTGGGGAAGGCAGTCTCCATTCAGGACCCTCCTAGTCCAGTCCAGGGACCGCCATCACAAAAAAAGTGGGAACCCCGGAAGGAGGGCCTACCATTCTCAAGACTGAAAACAAACCAGAAGGCTTTGGAATCCCCAGCCCAGCCCAGCCCAGCCCAGCCCAGGATGCTTTGCTACCACTGTCTAGCACCAGGGTCTGACTAGTTGTGGGTGGAGAACAAGACTTACTCTTGTTGTTTTAGGGGGAGGTGGGTATCACCCCAGCCACCTTCATGATTGCCATCCTAGCTGTTGCCAGATACCCCATCCTCAGCTCCTTGGTGATGAAGGGAACAGAGGGCACCCCAGAAAGCCTTTCTGATCCGCAATTAAAGACTGACGCCTCGTTCTCAAGTGGGTCTTTTTTGTTTGTTTCTCCACGAGGGGAACACTTCAACCTGAAGATGAAATGAGCGGGGAGGGGCTGCCCAGGGGGGCACTGGCGCTAAGTACAACATCCACTATCCAATCAGGGTCTCCCACACCTCAGCAACCACTGTGTAGCTGCCCCTTTTCGTGAGGATGCATTTCAGGGGGCTTAAGTTAGTAGTTCCCACATCCAACTTGGCCAAGAGCACGGGCTGGGGGAGAACACCACCCTCTGCCTTCCCAAGGTGAAGACGCGGTGTCAAGCCCCGTGCACAGACAGGCCGTCAGGCAGCTCAAGCCGCCTTGGATGTGCTTTCCAGAGTTCTCTGAGCAGACACAGCCTCGCAGTCAGTCCGAAGAGCACAGTTAAGGAGGCAGAGGAATGTGGGACGAGATCTCCCACTCAACTGCAAAAACCTTTAAATATCTCCGAACTTTTCCGGTTTTGCTTTTGGCTCCTTACAGTGTTTTTGTGTTTAGTTTTGGTTGCCACGAGGGGACTGTTTTTAGCTGCCTGGCTCCTTCCCCTCGTCCTTTGGTACATGCCCCAGCATGAAATCTCCAATTCTTATCTCACTCAGCAAAACAGACAGGGGCTGATCTGCATACGGGCTCCCCGGGGTGGTTCTCTGGCGGAAACCTCCACAACATTCACATTCCCGGGAAACCCTCTTTGCCTGGGGATTAACCCCTGAAATCACGCTAGCCAGAGCTCACTGCTCGGGCTGGAGAGGCATACCCTTGCCTTTGTGTCGGGGTGTCGGGGGGTTTTTCTTGCCCCTCTGCGCGGCGTTATCCGTGCTTCTGGGGCGAGTGCGCGCGCTAGACACTAGTGGCGTTAAGTTAGCGTAAACTGAGGCACGAGGGCACTCAGATATTGACGACTTCCTTTGGCCCGGATCTTGGGGGCTCTCCCTTTCAGTTTGTCTAAGCCTATTACGAGTCTCCGGAGGAGCCTGGCGGGGGGGGGGGGGGCGAGAAGGGCAGCAAGTGGCTTTTGTTTGCCTGGGATTGGAGTTTAAATTGGGGGTGGGGGCGGATTTCTCTCTGGAGATTCTTATGGCTTTGGGGGGGTTTCAGTAGGAGAGGGAGGAGGAGGAGGAGGAGGACGGCAGACTCAGAGCCCTGAAAACAATCGAGAGCGTTTATCCAGGTGCGACGTGGAGACTGGAAGCTAACTAATGATCAGACTAGCAGAAAGACGGGGTGGGGTGGGGTGGGGGCCACCCCGGGAAGGACATGGTGCCCTCCACGTTCTGCGGACTTCTGTCCACGGTGCCCTTCCGCTGTTACGAAGGCGCTGGCTGGTCTTGCTGCTTGGGTTGTCAAGACCCTCGGCTGAGGACAGGACCGACCGCCACAAATCTGACTCGGGTACTAAGGGAAGCGCAGTGTAATCCGTGAAACAATTAAGGGCGTCTGTAGGGGTTCGCAGCGGCGGGGTGGGTGGGGGACTTCATGTTCCCCCCATCTCCTTGTCTCTCTGTGGGGTGGTGCTGTTTATTCCAGGGCAGCCTGTGCGGAGACGGACAGGCAAGTGGAGATCACAAGGGACTTTCATTTCCAGGCACCTGGCATTCTTCGGGGTTGTGCGGACACGCCCGGGGTTTACCTGCCTGCAGGTCGACTGAAGGGCGGGCCGTGGAGGCGTGGGGCAGAGCGTGGGCGTGGGAGACGGAGGGTGTGGCCCCGAGAGCCGTTACCAAGGCAAAAAACCAAAGCAAAACACCCGCCCGGCGCTTCCCGCGCGAGGCTCCTGCAATCGCGTCAGATCCTGGCAGGATCTACGAGGATCCCCGGGATGGAACCACCTCTGGCTTCCCCGGCCGGCGTGGGCGGGACTTCGGGGTCCTCCCTGGAGGGCCGGGGCCTGTGAAGGACGAGGCTCGGTCTTGGGCTGAAGGAACCCGGGTGCGGAGAACTTGATTGTGGCCAAAGTGTCTGCCTCAAGGGACATCAGTTCTTTGGGGTGTAGTATGTGTGGGGGGGTGAGAGAGAGGTTCAGAGAGAGAGAGAGGAGAGAGAGAGGTTCCCGTAACAATCCAGGTGGAAGGTGCTATGGACAATTCCGCTTCTTATCCCAAATTACCACTCTGACCACTCTGATCGCCTCCCCCTCGAAGGCAGGTGTCAGCAGGTGCCTCTGTCTTTACATCCTGGCGTCATGCTGGACGTGTGCACCCGAAGGCTTCCCAGACAGGTGTGCGAGCCCTGGGCCGCATTCGTGCGCACTTCTAGCCCTTGGGTAGCTATGGAGACCCGCCCGGGTCTCGCGCTCAGCCTAGACTTTTTGAATTGCTGGATCTGAACCCGCAAACTGTTTTCAGGGTTCAAACTCAGTTCTGCCGAGGCCTCAGCTTGAAACTCGAGCCCTACGTCCAATTTTTCCCGCCACCAGATTTTCGGACAGAGGGCCCCCACGTTCCCGCTCTAAGCAGTACGTGCTCAGTCCGGGCAGCCGGGTCCCAGCACAGCTCTCTGTTCCTGCAGACACTAGAAACCCGAAGACGGGTTTTCTCTAAATACTTCCTGACATCCAGGAGGACCCCCCCTCCCCCGCTCGCCCCCTTCCTCCTCCAAGGCGGGGCGCTTGGGGATCAAAGCGTCCTTCTAGCCCGGACTCCCTGAGCCGAGCCGTCTTTTCCCAGTCCGTTTTAGCCCTGCGCTGGGTGGCCTCTGATCGCTCCTGATCTTTCCTCTTTCTACACACTCTTGCTTTCGCTGAGAATTCCCTGTTCGTTTCAAATGTCTTGTGGTTGTTATTAAAACCTCAAAGCCAAGCCAACAGCGTCTTGTCGCTAGCAGCTCCGGAGGCCCTGCGTGTGCGGGGCCCGCGGCGGCGGAGGTCACGCTGGCGGGTAACGGTGTAGATTCACCGGAGGGTAACTTTGAGCACCTCCTTCCCGAAGAAGATTGTCACCTCTACCCCTTCCCTGCCCCCTCCTTGAGCAGAGGCGCTGGCCGGAGAAGGCGCTTCTTCCTGGAGTTTTAGAAAAATGACCACGCATTTTTTGGAGAAAGGTCGTGCCCGCTACCCAGCCTCACCTAGTCTGGGCCACCGCCAGGACCCGCCTCCCGAGCACCCCCTCCCCCCTTCCCCAACCTAGCGGAGGGAGAGATGCCAGGGCGGTGGAGTCATGCCGCTGGCTTGGGCACCATTGGCTCATGCCTGGAACACGCAGCGACGAATACGCACAACTGGCGGTGCGCCCGGGCGACTCCGGGCCTGATATGGAGCGAGAGGGCGGGTGCGTGCGTGTGTGTGTGTGTGTCCCGGGCGTGCGAGGCGCGCAGGACGCTCGGTGACCGCCCCTTCTCGCACTTGCATCACCAACTTAGAGGTCTCCACCCACCATTAGCCCCGCCCTCGGCCCTCCTCCACCCCTCCTCCGGCCAGTTCTCCCTGGAAGCTATTAATAGCATTACGTCAGCCTGAGATTGGTAACCATGAGTTTAGCTAGCGCGAGGGCTATAAAAGGGGTGATGCAACGCGCTCCCAGCCACAGTCTCACTCAGCGAGACGCGCTGGGCACGGTGCTTCCCCCGCGGAGCCGGCCGGTCAGCCTGCGCTCCGGCAGAGTCCTAGGTGCTCGCCCGCCGCCGGGACAGACCGCCCGCCCCTGGCCGCTCTCTGGACCCTGGCCGCCCTGAGCGGAGATTGGAGGTGAGCATTAGAGCCACGCGGTGGAGAGCCGGTCTCCCCTTGTCATCTCCCCTCTGGTGACCAGTCCCGGGACCCCTGAGCCTCCCGGGACTCGAGTCCTAGTCTCCCGCGCTACAGTCGCTCGGCTGAGCTGCTCTTTGCCGCAGCCGCTCCGAGCCGGGGGAAAGTTTCTAGTAAAGTGAAAGAACGAACTTTCTCTTTCGAGTCCTGAAAGATGCCCGGGGACGGAGAAGATCGCGCGCTCTCGGCCCGCACCTAGAGAGGTCGTCTGGGTGGGTGGTGAATGCTGGTGCGCGGGGGTGACCCACACTCTCGGGATCGCGGTCCACTCTGCCCCTCACTTGGTGGCCGGAGCCGGAGTGGGTCTCTCCTAAGTCCGCGCAGAGAGGCGCGGTGGCCGCTGGTGGCAGCGCTGCTCCCGGTACCGAGCGAAATGAATGGGGAAGGAACGCTCGGTCCGAGGTCCCGGCACAGCCGCTGGAGGTCGCCTCGCGCTCCCGGGAGCGGAGCTCTGGGCCGCAGGACCGCGCAGGGAGCCGTAAGCGAAAGCGAGTTGCAATTAGTTTGGAGGCGGCGAGCGCTGGTATCGCGCTGTCCCGGGGCGGACTCCGGAGAGGTCTCGGCACCCACAGAAATCGAGCGGCTGGGCTTAAGGGGGGCTCAGCACCAGCCTCTCGCTGTTGTGACTCTGACTTTCTTTTAACCCGTACTTGTTTTTTTGTTTTTGTTTGTGGTTTTGTTTTGTTTCTGCTTTGTGTAGTCGAAGAACTGCGGGGACTGGATCGAACGGGTGGAGGGACCAGGGTGTGGGACCACTTGAACGAGCGCGCGCGCGCGTGTGTGTGTGTGTGTGTGTGTGTGTGTGTGTGTGTGTGTGTGTGTGTGTGTGTGTGTGTGTTGGGGATTGTTTTGTATTCTTGAGACAGTCTATAATTCAGACTCCTGGCGATCCTCCTGCCTCAGGCTTCCAAGTGCTGAGATTACAGCCATCGCTCCCAGCACCCTCTACCTGCGCTAGAGCCCTGTGCTTTGTGGTCCGTATGGCCAGGTTTTGACCGAAGATTTTTCTGTTTTTAGAGTGAAATAACCGAACTAAAAGGAGCCAGGAAGGGATCTTGAGTGGAGAGGGTGGCTCCCCACCCAGGGTCTCTGAGACAGGAAGGGAAGGAGCTTCCCTCTCCACCCCTGCCTCCTTTCTCCCGTGGGTCGGTTCTCTGCTCCGACCCACTCTCATTTTCAACTCCCATGTTTTATTTTTCCCTCCTAGCTGTTTCATTTTGCTTACTTTCATTATGTAGACCACAGGCTTTCTCATAAATCACAGGAGTTGACAAGCCCAACTATTTCAACATTTTAGTTTTGTCTGGCTTTCTTTGAGACAGGGTCTCCCATTGTAACCCAGGTTTGCTTCAAACTCGTGGCAATCCTCCAGCCTCAGTTCCCAAGTGCTGGGATTACAGTCATGTGTCACCAAGAGAGCACATGTTTTGCATGTAGCATTTGTTGTGGGATAATGTTACCATACACAGGCTCTCGCCTGGGGGCGGCGGTTGCTGTTGTTTCTGAGATTTCCAAGGTTGCTGATCAGATGGAGACACAGCGCCTAGCACTGTGGCTACCTAAATCCCTTCTCCACAGGTTTCTTCTGTGACCCCTTCCTGTCTTCATTCTGTCAAAGCCTCCTCTATGAAGGGTTCCAGGTATGGGACTCTTGAGCCCTCAGCTGCTACCTGGCTGACAGCTCTGCCTGTGGCTGGCTGCTTTCTTGAACTGATGGCCCTGGTTGGAGAGCAGAGGGTGTGGTTTCAGCAGCTTGGCTGGACCGGACCACCCTTCAGCTCTGTGAGTTTAGGCTAGTTGCTTTCCTTCCTGGACCTCAGTTTACTAAATGACACCGTGAGGATCTGATCTAGACGGTCCTAAGGCTGGGTGCCCTTAGCCAGAGTCTGTGATTCCTCAAGGAGCTGGTTCCAGGCTAACCCAGCCAGGGAAGGAGGGACAAAGCCAGGGCACCACAGACACTGCAAGAGAGAAGTGGTTTCTTGTGTGAAAACTCACAGTCTCCGAAGAACACAACGGCAATGGAGAAGTGCTGATGTCAGCAGGGGGTCGTGGAGGTCACCCGGTGTCCCGGGAACCCAGGACCGTAGTACAGTTGTGACAGGCTGACCTGAAATCCTTGAGGGTTCCAGGCATTTGCTGATGAACAGAACTAAACTGAATTGACAACCAAATCCGTTTCCCTGACGTGGGAGAAGGTGGAGTTAGAATGTATGTGTGGGTGTGGATCTCTTATGTTTTCAAACGTGTGTGTGTGTGTGTGTGTGTGTGTGTGTGTGTGTGTGTGTGTGTGGTGTGTTCTTCCCCACAGCCCGGGGAGGGAGTTGGCAATCTCATTCACAATTTTCAGGTAGGAACTGAAGGCCAGAAAGCTTCTGGCTCCTGAGTGGGTGCTAAGTTTGTGAGTGGCAGACATAGTCCTGGAGACAGCCACTGACCCTGAAGCCCAGCCTTGCGCCTCCAGCCTGCAAACAGGAGAAAGAACAGGATGTGTAGAGTCAGGGGAAGGGGGCTAACCCTCTCCCGACTGCTACAGGTTGGTTTGCAGATGGTTCAGTGGAAGGAAGTGCAAATCAAAAGTGAAATTTCAACTGGAGATAAAAATCTAGGAGCTGAATTTCCAGTTAAATAGATTAGAGAAGTTTCACTTTCTTGAAAATGATGACATTGCCAACGATATGACATAATTTCTGATTGGACATCATGAAGCAAAAAAAAAAAAACAAACAGAATTTGAGTCCTGAAGCAAATCCAGAAGACAGTTTTATGATCAGTGTAGAGAGTTAACTCAGCTCACCCACCCCCCCAACACCCCCCTCTTGGGATGCTGGGTGTGTTAGAGGTCCCAGCATTTGAAAACAAGCTGAGGTTTTAGACTTTGTTTCCCTGGAGGACATGGCCTGACTCTAGGCTGATTCTCTGGCGGAGGCTGACAGGACAAACCAGAAAGAACAGGAACGCAAGTCTTTGCGGACGGAGTTCCTTGATCATCAGAAAGACTTTCTTAACAGCGTTACGGCATGCTTGTGTCCCCCAAGGAAGCCCCGCCCCCAGCTTTTCACAGAAACATTCCATACCACTGACATTCCTCAGTGTCTTCCTGTCTTTACACTAAGAAGGATGGGGGAAAGTCCCAAACAGCAGACTCTAAACCCCAAGGGCTCATTAAGAAACCTAGCTGGGTGGCTAAAGAGACAAAGGCAACTTCTGTGGCTCAAACGAGTGCGTGTAGGTGAGCCATCAGGTCGTGCCCACGAAAGCCAGGCCGGTGGCAGCTCGGAGCTCCATCCCTTAACTGGTTGTTTTGTTTTGTTTTGAGCAAAACTGGAGAGGAAGGGGAAATGAGGATGCTTGGGAGGAAGTTAAGCCTCTGGCTTCAGAAGCCAGGGAAACAGCCCCCCAGACACACGACTACAGGGTTCAATGGAGAGACCTTCAGTTTGGGAGAGAATTGTATGCATCTCTTGAGTTCTTTTGACTAGTGGAGGGCAGCTTTCGCTGGATTGGAGTTTCTCCAGGGCCTAGATCTCCAGGGACAGGTACCTGGTGAGGAGCTTATAACATCAAAGAAGGTGACCAGACAGACCCTACCGAGTCTCTACAGGAGAGCAGCCAGCCCTGTGTGGGAGAGCCTGGGAGGCCCAGTGTAGCTCCCGGTGGCCCTCACACCACTCTTAAGGTAATGGGGTACTTGTTATCAGCCTACCTTTGCATAGGAGAAAGAAGCCACTGCGTGTGTGGGGGGGGTACAGTCACAGCACATAACTAAGTGGTCTTCAAATCTTGATTCTTTTTTTTAGATCCTAGCTTGAGAATTTTATGGCTAAAACAGTCCATTTAAACAATTACGCCTGGACGCAGGCAGTAGCGGAGTGTGTACCTGCTATAAAAAGACTAGCAATTCCTTGAGTTCAGGGGTTCCCTGGGGATCGTTGCCTGCCCCCCCCCCACAGTTTCTGTTCCGGGCTTCACTCCTCTCCAAACGTTTGCTGTTTGTTGTTGCTCAGTGGAGTATAATATTTGGGTGCGCAGCATATAAATTAAGGTCATGAGTTCTGAAGCCAAGCAAAATGAATCCCCACACCCGGTACTATCCCGTGTGAATGTGATCTGTCTAAATCTCAGTTAACGCGTGTATAAAATGGGACCAGGTTTCATAGCACTGGCTTCTCGCAAAGGCCTGAAAGAGACAAGATAGATAGGATATCCTGTAATGTTAGAGGTCTTCCAAAAGGCTCCCTGTCCTCCGGGACATGGCTGATGACCAGTATCACCAAATAGAGTCCCTCCTCTTACTGCTCCTGCTTCAGTGAGGGTGGGAGTCATAGCTGCGTAAGTCCACAGCGGAAGACGTCGGGGTGTTCTAGATCACTTCTGCCCTGACTTTCCCTTGTCACCCCTGTGGATTTGCTGGCCTATAGAATGATGAGGCCATCTGGTACGGTCACCTCGTCCCCATATTGTTTATTCAGTTGTCCAACCGGTCGGCAGGCATCACCGGCCAGTGCTGAGCCCGGCTCCGGACAGAGCTTCAGCAGTGGTGTGCTGGCTTGGGGAGTTCTCAGTCAATTTCCAGATGAGGGCTTGAGTCCCTCAGAGCTGAGTGGCCTGCTCCTTCGAGACCAGGCCCGTCCCAGGTCCCCTCTGCTCCTACTCCAAGCCTCTCTCCTTGCATCTCAGCGCTAAACAACACCCCCATAAATCCAGAGCTCCCTCTCAGTCTGGCTTGCCCTGAAGCCCTTTGCTTTGCCATCCTTCTCGTTAAGAAGGGCTCCTTGTTCCCGCAGGACCCAAGTTCCCGGGGCGGTTACCACCCCCTGCCAAGAATTGGGGTGGAGAAACACACCCAGCTTCCTCATTCCCTTTCCCGGGTCCAGCTTCCTGCGGGAACAGAGTTGTGGAATTCAAGCCCACCCCCACCCCCGACTTCCTGCTTTAACCCCCAGATTCCAGAAAGTGCTGGTTTTTGTTTTTTGTTTTTTTTTTTCTCTTTGGGGTACTGAGGCCATGTTTGCATAATCTGTATACCAGCAAGACTACAAGGAGAAGAGGCTGAAAAGCCGACCCTCTTAAACTCTTAGTCGGCTCTGAGATGCTTGTTTTCAGAATCTGTTTTACTCACCAGGTGATGGTAGCACATGCCTGTAGTCCCAGCATTCCGGTAGGCAGAGGCAGGAAGATCTCTGTGAGTTCGAGACCAGCCTGGTCTACAAGAGCTAGTTCCAGGACAGCCTCCAAAGAGAAACTCTGTCTCGAAAAAACAAACAAACAAAAAGAATCTGTTTTACTCACAATGAGGATAGCATGAACAAAAAACCTTTTTGATGGTCTGTTGACTTTAATTAGCATTGCTTGCCTGAGCATGGGAATGGGATTAGTTACTGGAACATGACAGCTTAACCTGTGGCTACACTATTGCATAAAGTGACCCCTTTCACCAACAGGGGTCGCTGCTAATAGCTCGTGGGTGGATTAGGATCTGGACCTCAGGCTGGCCTCCCTAACCCATGCTGAAATGTTGATAGGCTCAGTCTTACACAGGTCCTCTGCAGGCAACCACAGCTCGTCCAGAAAATAGCATTTCACATCCTTTTAACCCCCGTGTCGTTCCCTGAGCCATGAACGTGTGTGTGTGTGTGTGTGTGTGTGTGTGTGTGTGTGTGTGAGAGAGAGAGAGAGAGAGAGAGAGAGAGAGAGAGAGAGAGAGAGAGAGACAGACAGACAGACAGACAGACAGGGAGAGACAGAGAGACAGAGACAGAGGGGGGAAGGAGAGAGAGAGAGAAGGTATAACAGTCACTTATTCTCAGAACTTTTCTCAACTATGATGAATTTCTGCGTTAACCGTTGCCTGCTGCAAAAAAGCTTACCAAGGCTGAACATAGTACTAGTCTCTGGATATGAGTATAAATACTTAGGAAGCAGTTTGGCAACGTGTACACTTAGCAAAACAACAGTAATATGTTCTCCCTTATTTCCTATAATTCCTCCAGCCACAGGCAAGAGATGGGCATGAAATGAAAGCAAACCAGAAGCCCAAGGGCTGATGGGACTTTGTGCTGAGGTGGACTGTACTTTTCATGGTTGGGATCTGTGCCCCAGGACCCCTGAAGCAGTTTGGGCCTAATTTTTTCTTTCAGCAAAATGATGCTTCAACACCCGGGCCAGGTCCCTGCCTCGGAAGTGAGCGCCTCTGCCATCGTCCCCTGCCTCTCTCCTCCCGGGTCCCTGGTGTTTGAGGATTTTGCTAACCTGACACCCTTTGTCAAGGAAGAGCTGAGGTTTGCCATCCAGAACAAGCACCTGTGTCACCGGATGTCCTCTGCGCTGGAGTCAGTGACCATCAACAACAGACCCCTGGAGACGTCAGTCACGAAAGCCGAGGTGGGCTCTGCCAGCGCATGTCCATTCTTTCGTTATTACACACACGGCACGTGCAGGAGGGGAGAGCTTACATTCTGTCGTCCGAGGATAATGCAATAAAGACTAGGATGAGCAGGGGTAGTGTGTGTGAGCATGTGTGTGATCAAGAGGCTGCTACAGGCAGGTCAAGAGAACAGTGAGTTTGAGGTCACTCTGACACACATCATGACGCTCTTGAGAGAGAGAATTGGTAAACAAGCATCTGGACAAACACACACACATACGCACACACGCGCGTGCGCGCACATACACACACACACACACACAGGGATGGCTCAGTAGTTAAGAGCACTTGCTGTTCCTGCGGAGAACACAGGTTCAACTCCCAGGACCCACGTGGTGGCTCACAGTTGTCTGTAGCTCCAATTTCAGGGACTCCAACGTCCTCTTCTGTCCTCTGCTGGCAACTGCACAAATGTGTCATGCATAGATAAACACAGGCAAACACTCATACACAAAAAATAAAAAATAGATATTAAAAAACCAGAAAGGGGACAGGGAGAAGAAGCAACTGCACAATCGTGAGCACACATGCATGCACAGGCTCATACACATACAATAAAACTTTTTTTTTAAGAAAAGAAAGGGGCCAGGCGGTGGTGGCGCACACCTTTAATCCCAGCACTCGGGAGGCAGAGGCAGGCAGATTTCTGTGAATTTGAGACCAGCCTGGTCTACAAGAGCTAGTTCCAGGACAGCCTCCAAAGCCACAGAGAAACCCTGTCTCGAAACACCCCCCGGCCCCCAGAAGGAAAAAGACAAGAGAAGAAAGGGGCTCGGAGAGTAGGTGGAGGTGAGGTTACCATTTTAAATCAGGAGGCCAGGGAAAGTGCCACTAGTCGTGGCCTTTGAGCTAGGACTCGAGGTGGGGGAGTCTGTGGAAGGGTACTCCCTTGGGGACCTTCCGTATACGAAGATGAAAGTCCAGGCTAGGCTAGTGCTGAAATGTAGCTGGCGTCTGGATCTAAGGTGAGGGTTAAGCTGATGTAGGTATGGACATGTCGTGTGGACAAACGAGTGTCCATTTGCCTCAGTGCTTGGGGCTTTAGGAGCCGGGCGGGGCAAGAGCAGAATGTCTGTCCTCTGCAGAATTCAGCCAGGAAGTGCAAATGTGAGCTGGGAACCCAGGGCCAGAGACATGGAGCTGGGAATCACAAACTATTGATGGCGCTTGAAGCTGTGAGTTCAGTGAGGCCACTTTTTTCTGTGTGCAGACTTTCTGTAAGAGTGGAGAATGGTGGTGATGTTGATCACCAGGAGGTTAGCCCTCCCCTTTCTGGCAACGACGCTCACAGATTTGGTATGCTGTGTGTTTGCTCTGGGCTCACATCCACTCACTATGTGTTGGGAAACTTTCCTGTAAGACACCTGGAATAATAGACTCGGTTACTGAACCGTGGTTGCTGGTGACAATGCTCCTTCAAGAACGTCAGAGATAATGAACCCTTGCAACTTTGTTAGCCGCTCTTGGTTACTGCAAGTGTCCTTAATATGTGTGACTGCAGCCCTGGGCCAAGGAGTCAAACTGTCTCAAAAGCTGTCAGTTTAAAAGGAGGCTGAGGACCAGGTTGCAGCTCAGGGATGAGTGTAAGACCTTGGGTTCTGGATTTGATCCCTAGCACTGGGGGCAGAAGGAGACTGGTTGGTAGTCTTCACCACTGTTCGATTTCTGTGGCCGCGGACTGGCATTTGTGGAAGGTCTGAGGGGAACCTGGCTCGTAGCAGCCAGTGGATGGAGACAGGCATTATTTATGATTATTTATGCTGTTGGGGTTATTAACTGTGCTCCCAGCTAACTAGGAGGACAGAGAGGGTGACACAAAACAGTCGCGGGTATCACGTCCAGTACTGGATAGTGCAGGTTAGAGCCTGGGACATCCTGGGAGACTTTTTTGTTTCTAATGGCATAGTTTGCAATAACAAGATACAGTAGCAGGAAAAGCGGGGAAAGGGAGGCTAGACAGGTGGGTGGACAGGGGAGGACTGTTGGAGAGCACCTGGAGGGAGAAGAATGGTCGAGCAGCTGATGGAGGCTCCTGGGTCCCCACTCTAGGGGAAAGGACATACTTATAAAATGTCTTTTTCCAGTTCTGGCTTACAGGAACCAATTCAATGATCAAAATCTTACTTCGAAACCCAATGCCAGTATAATCCTTTTTCACGGCCTCTTCGATTTTCATGACTCATTCTTTTAAATTTTTATTTTTATTTTATGTATATGTTCTGTCTGCAAGGACGTGTGTGCACCGTGTGCATGCCTGGTGCCCACGGAGGCCAGAAGAGGATTTTGGGTCCCTGGGGACCAAAGTTACAGTTGTGAGCCACCATGTGGGTGCTGGGAACCAATTCACAAATTCTCCGAAAGAGCAACAAGCGCTCTTAACCACTGAGCCGTCTCTCTGCACACCCACAGCGTGTGTGTGTGTGTGTGTGTGTGTGTGTGTGTGTGTGTGTGTGTGTATTTCTTATTTATGGGGTCTGTGGCCCTGAGACATGAAAGATAGGAATTCCTCCTCCAGCTTTGAGCTTTACGTCTCTAGATTTTGACACCTCCATCTCAACCCTCAGTCAGTGTCTTCTGACCCAGAAGACTGGGAAAAGGTCAGAGTGGGTCAGGACTGCCCTCCTGAAGCTGACAGGGTCTGACTTTGGCCAGCCCACCAGAGTTCATTGGCTAGATTTGGCCATTGCTCATCAGTCTATAGACTTAGTTGGGTCTGGGTGGACATCCATGGAGGACCATACTTCCCAGAGCTGGACAGGACTCTGATCTCTGAGAGCCCCAGTATTGACTCAGAACAAGGCACGGGAAATCAGGGTGACTTGTTGGCTGAATCAACAGGTGGTTCGGTGCTCTACTGCCAGTGGTATCCAGCTGTGGGCTTACTGACACCATTTTAGTACCAGTAATGGCCTTGAGTCTCACTGCTCCAGGAGCTCACAGGCTTCATGGGAAGGGTGTGCCTTGATGCTCCTGATGAAGACAGAATGTTAGTAATTTTCCTGTTGGCTGCGATCGAATGGTTGACAGATGCCATTTGGAGAATCAATTTAAGATTAAAATTCTTATTTCAAACTCCAAACGCATTTTAAAGTAGGTTAGATTTTAATTTGCTAATTTCAAGTGCAATTCTATTTTAATGAATAGAATTTTGATCTTAGATTTTTGTTGTTTATTCCCCAAGGGTGTGTGCACTCCTGTGTGTGGGGAGTTCACACAAAAATCTAGGCCATGAGGCTGGGGAATCGACTCAGTGACTAAGAGCACTTGGCTGCTCTTCCAAAAGACTGGAGGTCCCAGCACCCCATTCCTAGCACCTACACCGGTTGACAGCAGCCTGTAACTCCAGCTCTGGGGACCCAAAGCTCTCCTCTGGCCTCTGTAGGCACCATGAATGCACATGGTGGATACACACACAGACAAACACGGATATACAAACACACACGTACAAGTGACTAAAAACGAACAAAAAGCACCAAACCAAGAAACCCACACCCTTGATATTCATGGTGGCTTAAGTGTGTGCCTTTGGGGTTTTTATAGGTGGCCCCTGAAGAAGATGAAAGGAAAAGAAGGCGGCGGGAAAGAAATAAGATTGCAGCTGCCAAGTGTCGAAACAAGAAGAAAGAGAAGACGGAGTGCCTGCAGAAAGTGAGTGTGGGCAGGGCTTCCCCTGCTTGGAGCCCACACCTGGCCTCACCAACCTTTGTGTCACTGGCATAGGGGGGTTGTGGGCGGTGCAGAAATGCCAGCTGCAGGCGGAGGGAGGAGCAGATCTGTTACACGATGGAGGGGACTCTGACGTGTAGAATAAAGATTTGTGGGTTTAAAAACTTCAGTATCCAGGGGCTAGCAAACCGGCTCCTCCAAAGTGCTCACCGTGCAAGCCTGACAGCCTGGGTTTGATGCCCAGAGCCCACCGTGGGAGGGGAGGGCCGACCTCCAAGAGCTGTCCCCTGACCTCCACGACGTGCCACAAACTGGCCCATACATCCCCAGGAGTTTCTAGGCTTTTGGACCAAGGCGACTTTATTCACACCAGTTTTACCGAATGAAACAAAGCAGTAAGCCCCTGCTGCTGCCACTGACTCTCAAGAAAAGCTTAATTGCTCTCCAGCTTGCTCTGGTATCCCGGAAGCAGTACTTACACGGTGCTCCTGCCTGGGTCTGAACCCTGCTTCTCTTCTTCCTACCTATCGAGCACTTTGTGCACCCCAAGGCAGGCTGTCACCTCCCAAAAAAATACCAGGGGTATAGCATGGGTCCACAGGCAAGGCAAGCCACAGAGCCTGGTAGACTTGGCAGGGGCCGCGTCTGCTCCGCCATGTCTGTGCAGGCCGGCTTCTAGCAGAGACACAAGATGGCCTCAGTAGTCCTGGGATCTCTGCGTGTTGCTTTAGGGTCGGTGAAAAACCCAAGAGTCTTGGTGAGATCAGAAATTCAGGGAAAACGCTACACCACCAGTTTGAAATTCTCCTCAGCTCTCCAGACCCTGGGGGGCCCAGATGCCCTTGGCAGAGGACTGGAGCAGCTTCGGCAAGCATGGTAGCCTGGCTCAGTGGTATCCCCAAACTTCCTCACATGCCCCCCAATTTCAAAGGCCTCTCCAGGGTCGTCCTATCTGTGTGGTAGGATGGGTTCCCCCAGCAGACCTCTCCCAACTCGATAAACCCCAAGGTTTCCAGGTGGTTTCCCCCATGCCCCTCCCCGCCATAACGCCTCTGTCGATTGTCCCTCAGGAGTCAGAGAAGCTGGAGAGTGTGAACGCCGAGCTGAAGGCCCAGATAGAGGAGTTGAAAAATGAGAAGCAGCACTTGATATACATGCTCAACCTGCACCGGCCCACGTGTATCGTGCGGGCCCAGAATGGGCGGACTCCGGAAGATGAGAGGAACCTCTTCATCCAGCAGATAAAAGAAGGAACGTTGCAGAGCTAAGCGACAGGGGCATGGGGGCAACTGGGGAGTCCTTATTGAATCCTCCTTTTCCACCCCAAACCCTGAAGCCACGGAAAGCTGGCTTCCTGTGCACTTCTCGAATCTCAGCAGCCGAGAGCCGTTGGGGCAGGAGGGCCTGTGGCGACCACGGCGTTGTCCCATCCTGCCCCGGAGTGAACTGTGGCACAGGGCAAGAGCATCCTTCGTCTCACTGACTCCAGGATTTAGGCCTTACCATCCCAGGCCATTCTCAGATGATCTAGCTGGGCCCCGCCTGGGGTCCCATGCAAAGCGGGATACCCACTAAAGGGATTCATGAGGAAGTGTCCGCCTCGGTAGGTGGGGTGGGGCCAGGGCCTCCACTGCAGCTGACGCCATGCCTCCTAGGGAATATGGAACGAGAACACTCACTGTCGAGGTTGTCCAGTGGCCAGGATGTGCTTCTAGAAAGTATGCTGTTACATCCCAGAATGACTGCACGGGCGCTCATTTCAGAACCAGCTGTTGTGCTATTTGGATGTGTGTCTGGAGTGACACTGTCACGATCTTTCTGGGAGTCTCATCAGAACTGATTTCTGAGAGTCTGCGAGTCTGCCATCATGGGTAGATAGTATCCCGCTTGCCCCCCAGGAGTGACGCGGACCTGATGGCCAGCTGTGCTGCCCTGTGCTGTCTGGAGGGCGCCTCCCTTCCCTGTTCCCACTGTTGGGGGAGAACCTGGGCACGGCAGCAGGCCCCTGGCTGCAAATTGTTGCAATGCCACAGAAAGAAGGCACGCAGGAAGTCCAACTTCCGGAGGGTAGGACTCTCCTTCCCACTCAGTGATGGGGCAGGCGTGATTTCTAGGCCAGAAGGGCCAAGATACTCCATTTTACTTCCTTGTGGCCAGAAACCACAGCCTGTGGGGAAGAGAGTCTGGAGCCGTGTACAGGGCCAGGCTTCTGCTTTGTGGGGTGTTAATGGCATTGTATTTGTTATTGAGATGTGGCCCAGGGCATTTCAGCCCGGAGGCACCTCCCTCTGGCCACCGTGACTCTGGCTACTGTTAAAATTCTGATGTTTCTGTGAAATCCTCAGAGTGTTTAATCTTACTCAATAGTATTATTACATTTTTCTGTGAGAGAAAATATTACTTATTTATCCCAGTATTCCTAGACTGTCAACATAATAAATATCAGAGTAAGACTCGGTAAACTTAAGTGTCCTTCTGGTTTCTATCAGTCTGTTGAAATAATGGCCCTGCCTCTCTGTTATGGAGTGATTAGCACTGAGGATTTGGGTAGAGATTCCTTTGTTCATGGGGAGAACACTAGGTAGGGCAGCTGGGGTTTGTTTTGTGTGTGTGTGTGTTTTGTCTGCATGTATGTCTGCACTCCACATGCGTGCAGTGCCTGAGGAGGCCAGGAGAGGGTGCTGTAGGGGGGTTGTGAACCACCATGTAGGTTCTGGGAATAGAACCCAGATCCTTTCTAAGAACATTGGCAACTGCTGATCCGTCTCTCCAGTCCAATTTATTTTTAAGTGTGTGTGTGTGTGTGTGTGTGTGTGTGTGTGTGTGTGTGTGTGTGTGTGTGTGTGTGTAGGAGAGGTGTGTACATGTGCCCTTCACACCCACTGTTTGGCACTAAGATGGTTTGTTGTTTTTGAGAGCCTCACTGTGTGACCCTTGGTGGCCTGGAAGAGCCTCTCTTCCTCCCTGGGTTCCTCTGTCTCTTGTGTTGTCCTGGGATCTGATCTGTCCCAACACCTGCTTCAGAGTAAAAGGCTTGAAAGCTCTGGCTCAGGACCTGAGATCTAGAGTCATCCTTACACATTCTGTGAAGAGGCAAAGACGCCATTTCCCACTTTATCCAACACCCACCCCCTTCTCAGGTGCCAGAGAGCTTAGAAAGAGCCCATGATTGACGCTGTAGCCTGTCTGGAATGTCTCTTCTGAGTTCCGGTGCTGCTGTCTTTGGGTCTGGATCTGCCTGGAAGTAAGCAGGCTTTACACACTGAGCGTTCATTCTTCTGGGTGGTTGTGACTCTAGACTCCAGAAGCCTCTGGTCTCATCAAACATTGGGGTCAAGCTAGGTGGTACCAGCCTGGTGGGTCTCTGGTCACGGCTAGCCTGGTTTACACAGTGAGGTCCAGGCCAGCCAGGGGCTATGTGGTGAGATCTTGTCTCAAAACATCGAGTGTAGCCGGGACGTTGGTGGTACACGCCTTTAATCCCAGCACTTGGGAGGCAGAGGCAGGCAGATCTCTGTGAGTTTGAGGCCAGCCTGGTCTACAGAGTGAGTTCCAGGACAGCCTCCAAAACAATAGAGAAACCCTGTCTCGAAAAAAAAAACAAACAAAAAACATCGAGTGTACTTTTGAAGCAATTCACCCTGCACTGCAAAGCATGGGTGAGAGTGAATGCTAATCACGGCTAGCATTCACTGACTAGGACAAGGGGCTGGACATTGTGTCCCCTGTGTTTGCCACCTTTCTGTCACTAAAACAAAATACCTGAGATAAACAAAAGGAGAAGCCTTCAGTGAGTGAAGGCTCTGGCTGCCAAGTCTGACCTGAGTCCAGTCCCACAACGAGAGACTGAACTACCCTCTGACCATGCTACTGTGATGTACACGTGCCCCCAACCTGCCCCATCTCACACACACACACACACGAGAGACTGAACTACCCTCTGACCACGCTACTGTGATGTACACGTGCCCCCAACCTGCCCCATCTCACACACACACACACGAGAGACTGAACTCCTACAAGTTACCCTCTGACCACGTTACTGTGATGTACACGTGCCCCCAACCTGCCCCATCACACACACACACACACACACACACACTAAATGAATACAATAAAGCACTTTTAAAGAGAAAAAACAGAGCCTCGAAGACAGTTTAGGGCTCTTGCCACACAACCCACGTAGACGCCAGGTGGACATGGTGGCCTGCCTGTGATTCCAGATGGGAAAGACAGACACAGGGCATTCCCCCAGAGCAAGCAGGCTAGCCGGAGCCGCCGTGTCTCCCCATCTGGGTGCATCTGAGAAAACCGACCTTGGGCTGCCGCATGAGCCTGTGCAAACACCGCTCACACATGCATGAAAAACTGGGGGGGGGGTTTGGTCCACAGTTTAGAAGTGTCAGTCCATGACTGATTCATCTTGTGCCTCTGGTCTGTGTGGATGCAGCAAGCCCTGGTAGGGAGTGTATGGTGAACCAAAATCACTTCAGGACCAGGAAGCAAAGACTGGAAGGCAAGGTGAGAGCAGAGTCCCGTGATCTCCCTTAAGTCCCCCAGACACAGGACCTCCCACAGGGCCCTCCCTCCCAGCAGCTCAGCGACTCCTAGGGCCTTATTTAGCACAGGGGCTTTGGAGACGTTCCCAATCCTTGAAAGCACTGCTCCGGTCCACATGTGAGAAAGTAGGGGACGCCAAAACTTCTCAAAGTCCCCCAGTCTACCTGAGATCGAAGACTACGCTCTTTGCAACCACCAAGGTTTCAGACAAGAGTTCTAAGGGTGCATGTGTGGTGTGTGTGACTGGGAAAAACACAAATCATGATATTTAGCATTCGGACACTTTCGGCACACGCATGATGCTGTGTAGCCACCACCGAGTGGCACCCCTGGAGCAATCCCTCCCCAGGTCCCACCTCCAGCACGTGGCAAGTGCCAAGGTCCACCCGCAAATCAACATTCCGTTCCTGCTCATGGCTGAGCAACAGTGTATTGCTCGAGAATCTGTATTTTGCTCATCCACTTATCAGTTAACAGCCAGGTGTGTGTGTGCTTCCACAGAGCAGCAGGTAACCTTTGCCCTTAAGGAATGAATGTCTGGAATAAGGGTCCAAGTGACAACGGTTTGGAAGTCCTGAGTCTGGCTAGCTATGTGGGTGTGGCATTAGGCAGAGTCATGGTGACAAATGTAAACAGATTTCTAAAGCTCTCCCCAAAAGCAGGGCTGTTAGAACGGGGGTGGGGGGGGTGAATGCTCTCTTGGAATTCAAGGACTCCTGTTTCCTGTCCTCTACCTCTGTACCGTGCATTGCACGGTGTTGAAAAGTGGGTCCTTAGAGATTAAATGCTCCCCTACAAAAAACAAAACTGAAGGAGATACCACTGAGTGATGTGCCCCTACCTCAGCCCACCCACAGTCTAAAAGAGCGGTCTTCCATCGCGCGCGAGCACACACACACACACACACACACACACACAAGAGAGAGAGAGAGAGAGAGAGAGAGACTATACAACGTGCCATGATGTAGCAAAAATAAATCGGTTTGAAAACGCTTGACTGGCCCAAGCTTCCCTCAGGAGACAAAGTCCCATAGCGGTTTAAAACAGAGATTTTGGAATCAGTGAGACCTGGATTCAAACAGTGCCGTATGCAGGTGATTGGCATTCGGTTTCTCTGCCCTATGAAATGAGAACAGTAGCAATAGCACTCCTTGCCGGGTCCTCCAGCAATGTGTGACATGCTGTACACAGTACAGCGTCAGGAACCATCAATTTTACCTTAACTGGTGAGGGCCAGAGCCGCCACAAAAGATCACCATCAACATTTAGTGAGGTTTTCATGGAAGCGCCAAGACCGGTACTCGGGGTTGTCCAATAAAACGGCACCGTAAAGCTCCAACCCTTCAAATCCACCTGCCCCTTGGGCTGCCACAGGCTTCGAATCTTTTCAGTTTGGGCTAGAGAAAGAAGCACTCATATACGGCTTCCCACTGGAAACCTCTTCATCTTGGCCAGCCCTGTCCTCTTTCAGGGCAGCTGGAGGATGGGACAAAGGGGGATGTGCCAGTGACGGGTCACAAAGGGAGAGGGGGATAAGTATGGCTGTGCAGGGCTTCAGGCCCTAGTGGTCACTTCTCCCACTAGGGCTGCAGTCGTAGACGTACAGGGGGCTTTCAAAAAAAAATCACCAGCGGAGGTCGGAGGGTTCTCACACCCGGAAGAAAACCTCCCTGGAGTCTACCCTGCATCTCTACACCCTTGGAGAGATTGGGCTTGGAGTCCAGGTACCCAACAGCACCCCCTTGTCAATCATCTGTGCTCCCACCCCCAGCCCAGGCCTCTGGGAGGCTCTGAGGCAAACTGGGGGCCTGTGGGGTGGGGTTGAGAGACCCGCTGTGAGTGCCGCTGCCTCTGTGACCCAGGAGCACTGTTGCTCCCCTCACCTGTGGAGACCAAGAAAGACGCAGGAACCCACCTCGCCAGCGTACGCACCCTTCCTGACACAAAATGTCCGCGAAGAATGAGTCTCTGTTACCGTATTACACGGCCCAGAGTGGCTCCGGAGTTGGCATGTTCAACACCACCATGGGGAAACTACAACGGCAGCTGTACAAAGGCGAGTACGACATCTTCAAGTACGCACCCATATTTGAGAGTGACTTCATCCAGATCACCAAACGGGGCGAAGTGATCGATGTGCACAACCGTGTCCGAATGGTGACCGTGGGCATCGCGTGCACCAGCCCCATCCTCCCTCTCCCTGATGTCATGCTGCTGGCCCGGCCAGCCCCCGGCTGTGAAGAGTTTCCCGGACGCGGCCAGACCACCAAGGGTAAAAACCGCAAGGCTGGGAAGACCTTGGAGCTCACTAGGCTCCTGCCTTTGAAGTTCGTAAGGATCTCTGTTCACAACCGTGAGAAACAGCAGCTACGCCTCAAGTTCGCTACCGGCCGGTCTTGCTACCTGCAGCTGTGTCCCCCTCTCGAGGGCCGGGATGACCTCTTTATCTATTGGGAGAAGCTGATCTACCTGCTGAGACCGCCTGTGGACAGTAACAGCAGCACCTATGCCATCCCAGCAGAGGACATGGTGTGCATGCCTCTGCTGGAGGAAGAAGAAAAGAACAGTGCGACGGCCGTCGAGCCCCAGGGAAAAGGGGAACCAGACCAGGTCAGTGTGAGAAGCCTCCCCATGGCTACGGACGTGAACGGGGTCAGCTCGGCTGCTTTTGCTGGTGGCGAGGGAATCCATCATGACTCTTACAGATCCTCCCCTGTGCCCAGCGCATCCACCCCCAAAGCAAAACCAAAAGACCTCACCAAAGAGCCAGCAGCAGGGACAACATCAGAGGCGGTGGGTGGCCTAGCGGGTGCTTTGAGCTTGGCAGCAGCCAGGTCTGTGGGCCCTGGACAGAAAAATGCAGCCTTAGCAGGGAGCGCCGTCATGGGTGCAAGAGGAAGCAAAAGCCATTTGGCCATTGCGAGCGCTGGCAAGATGTCCCCGAAAAGTATGAAGGCTGCCTTGGCAGGGACAGCCAGCAGGTCCCTGGAGTATATTTCCAGTACATCCACCAGCCTCTCCCGAAAAGACAGCCTGACTGTGGCAATTGCAGGAATAGAACCTACCAGCAAGTCTGTTGGAGAAGCAGCAGCCGATCCAGCCCCAGCAGCCCTTGCCCTGAGCGAAAGCCACACCGATGGGCAGACTGGAGAGCAGAGAGCCCCCGAGGGCAGCACTGAAGCCAATAAAGAAAGGAGAGAAAGAAGGGAGCGGAGGGCAAAGGACAGGGCTGGCAGCAGGAGTTCCCGTCGCCAGAGAACAGGAGAAAGCCGCCGCAAGACAGCGGGGGACAAGGCGGTCCGCAAGCCAGCCAGCCGCAGATCCACTCGGGCCGCCGCCGAGAAGAAGGAAAAAGGCTCCCTTAGAGGCAGCAAGCATGGCAGGTCGCACAAAGGGGTCAGCCACGTCCCCATCACGAAGGAGTCCCGGAGCTCCCACAAATCAGGCAGGACCCTCTCCACCAGCAGCTCTGCGTCTGCCAACAAGAGGGTGGGCAGAATCAGCTTGTTCCTGAGGAACATCAGGGCCAACCTGGCTGCGAAAGGCCTGGCGTCACAGCGCGGCCAAGACATGGACATCGTGGCCAAGACCCTGGAGACAACCGACGTGGAGGCCATCATGGAGACAGAGAATGGCCAGGGCCTGGACATCATTGGTTCTGTGACATCCGAGGTCATGGAGACAGTGACCTTTGAGGCTCATTAAAGTACAACTCAGGGCCCAAAACTGCAAAGGGCCCAGGGCCCAGGGCGAACCCCTAGAGTCGATTCCAGCTTTCTTACTGCAGTTTGAATAAAGAACCATTCTACCTGAGAAGGGCTCTCCGTATATCCATACCCAGAAGTTCAGGAGTGACCTCATAGTGAATTCTGTGACGTCATCGAGAGACTCCTGGCTGCACCCGGATGAGGACTCCCTCTCCTGGAAGTGGACCCCAGGGCTGTACCTGTGTTCTCCTTGTCTAGGGATCAGGGCCCTGGATCTAGTCAGGGATGGGAAAGGGCATCAGACTGGTTCTTAAGACTGTCTGGACTTAGCAACTCGGTAACGTGCATTTCTGTCAGGTGTGTATGCTTCAAGAGACAGCTGTGAGGATATTCCTAGCAAAGCGCTTTAATGTCCAAACACCGGAAACAGACAAATTAGCAAAGTGAGAACTTATACTATTGTAGTAGGTAGGGTATCCAAGTAACCTGCAACATAGGTGAATTTTGTTCATAATGTTGAAAAGGAGCAAATCAGAGAATAGGGTATCATTGCTTTTTAGGATAGTTCAAAATCAAGAAGTTGAAGGAAGAGCAGACATGTGGACAAGACGGACTCAAGACCTTCAGGGATGTTGAGAGAGAGAGAAAGAGAGAGAGAGAGAGAGAGAGAGAGAGAGAGAGAGAGAGAGAGAGAGAGAGAGAGAGAGAGAGAGAGGGAGGGAGAGGGAGAGAGAGAGAGAGACAGAGAGAGAGAGTGTGTGTGTGTGTGTGTGTGTGTGTGTGTGTGTGTGTGTGTGTGTGTACATGCCATAGCCAGCATGTTGTGGTCAGAGGACAACACTTGGAGACTGGTTTTCTCCTTCCACCATGTGGATTCTGGGAAATGAAACCCAGGCCGTCAAATTTGGGGGCAAGTACCTGTACAGGCTGTGTTCAAAGAGTGAGTACATTGGGGATTGATTTTACAATTTTAGTGCCTCAGATGTCTGCATTGTAGTACCGTTTCCAGAAACGTATCTGGAATCTTTCCCCTTATGTAGCAATCTTAAGATTCAAGAAGGCATGAGTGGTTGTTAGAAAAAGACGTCTGAGGGAGATGGTTACTTCATCACCCTGTGGAACTTTCGGCAGACAGGGTCACCCCGACCGACTGCTTCCTTGTGCAGAGTCCCGCTTGAGGAACAAGAGAGGAGTCCGGGCTGGCCACCAGGCCCTGTCAGGAAGCTGGAGGAATGGGCGCTGTCTGTTGATTAACAGGAGGAGAAAGGGTTGTGGGGTCTGGGAAGACCAGGTGTAACTGGGAACTTCGAGCTGGTTTTTGAACTGTAGTAGACTCCTCGCTGCTGGCCGACCTTATCTACAAAGGCTCCAGACCACCCTTTAGGCCTCCCCCCCCGCCTGCACTGTAGCTTTGAACAGACCTAACCCCTGGAGCTGCAGACCCTGCTTCCCATCTCCCCAGCCACTAATGAAACACTTGAAAGGCTAAGCAGTATTTTCCCCGTATCCAGCTCCAGGAAACGAATTCTCAGAGCTTGAGTGGGTGAGGCTGCAGGCCTCCAGGGCCAAACCCTCGAAGCCACCTTGGAGGCCGGCCGGCTTCGGCTTTAAGGGGGAAGAGAGTGGTGGGCATGGTTGAGGGCTTGCTGCTGGGAACGGGAAGCTGGCTCAAGACCTGCCCACACCAACCATTTCCTGCCGCCAGACAAGGCTCTTGACCCCGGGCGGGCGTGAGGGACTGGTGGAGTGAGTCAAGTTATTCTTAAGAAAGGAGGGAGATTAGAGACAGCCAAGCTGCGAGGAAAACAAGCTCAGAATCATTAACCCAGAGCGCCAGGGAGGCTGGGGGAGGGGCTCCCCCTCCTGCTGGAGCCCAATTAATGGTTTACTCTTCTGCCAGCCTGCCCTTTGACAGAAAGGTGTGGGGTTCACAAAGACCACATCATGTCTGTTTAATTTGAGGGTTTCCACGCGGGTGAGTGGGAATCTGTCAGACCAAAATGAAACAAACAAACAAAAAAACCCACTACAAACATTTCCATGGCACTCAACTAAAATGTTCCCTAGTAGGCCTGCTCTCTCACAGACCCCCGTCTGGCAGGCCAGCAAATGGGCACTGAGAATCATCACTTTAGAGTATTCGCTCTAGGTGCCCAGGGGCACGGCAGTATGACACCCTTCAAACCCCGGAAGGTGTTGCAGCTTGCCTGACAGATGTGCCTCTGGGGTGAAAACATCTGTTTGCAGGAGGTTCCTGAAGCCCCTGCGGGTCTGGGACTCTGCCAGGGAAGGCACGGGAAGGGGAGGGAACGGGAGACCCATGAAGTAGGCAGGCTGGAAATGCTGTACGCCCTGAGGTTGGAGGGCCAGGGGAGAGGCGGGCACGTGGCCTGGGGATTTCTCCAGCCTGCAAGCCTTCGGGACTCACTGGAAGGGCAGTGCCTGATGGGAGTGGGGTAGAGGAACAGGAGCTGTCTGGAGGCCCCGGGTCCTTTAGGAAGCTTGGAGCCCACGACCTAGGCAGCTATGGGAAGAGACGGCCAGTGTCAGGAGACAGAAGAGAGATTTAACAGGACAGTGGTCTGCCGGTCTCAGAAGACAGGAAGCCATGGTTTGGAACTCTAACGTCAGCAGAGTGAAAAGATGGGGTGTCCCCCCCCTTAGGGAAAAGGCTGCAAGAAGGGAAGAAATGTGTTAGTGTATAAAACAGCTTAGAGGTCAAAATGCAAAAAACAAAAAAGCAGAAAAACCCATGCAGGGTGTTAAAAGGAGTGTGGAGGGAAGGGGCAAGGGGTGGGGGAGGGGTGAGGAGTGGGGAGCTTTGGAATCTAGTTCTTCAAAGACACCAGCAAGGCAACAGGAGCTGGTGAGACGCTCCTCCAGCCTCCAGGGACGTGAAGTTGCTCAACAGAGCCCCTTGTGGCCATAGCTGTTACTGCCCCTTGGGGCTTGACCTAGGGGAGCCAGGGAGGTTGCCCTAAGTCACAGTGTCCTTTCCCTTTGTCACAGCACAGTTTGCCTGATGCTGACTCACTGATAGTCAGCCTGTCCCTGAGGGGTAGCACAGCTGCAGCAGGTGGCAGCAGAGGTGACACTGGGGATGTCTTTCCAGGCCTCTGCAGGGCTCTTGTCCCGACAGGAGCAGGCAGCGTTCCCTTAAGAGATGGAGTTTAACTCCACGGAGAGTAAGGAGAGTGGGGTTACTGCCAGTTCCCTCTGCAGACTGGAAGTTGTTTGAGAAGAGGTTATTGAACACCAAGATGGGAACCATGAAGATGGATAGACACGCGCGTGTGTGAGCACACAGACACGCACGCACACACACAGACATACACACACAGAGACACAGACACACATGCACACACACACACAGACATGCACACACAGAGACACAGATACACACACACAGGCACACACACAGACATGCACACACAGAGACACAGATACACACACACAGGCACACACACAAACATGCACACACATACACACAGACACATGCACACACAGACACACACATACACACAGAGACATGCACACACAGAGACACAGACACACACATACACACAGACACATGCACACACAGAGACACAGACACACACATACACACAGAGACATGCACACACAGAGACACACACAGAGAGACATGCACACACAGACACACACACACACACACACACACACAGAACCCCTGTATCTTCGTGACCACGAATATGACCTGTGACTCAGGAGTGAGGGGTGTGCATAGCTGCATTCTCCAGGATCAGAGGGACACGGGAAGCCCAGGCTCTTGCCCCTGCCGGTTTAGAGAGTTAGGCGTGCACTGTGGAGGTATGTGTGTCCCCCACAAGCTTCTTCTCCACAGGCACACCAAGGCGATGTTCCTCATCTTGAGGGCAGTTAAAGGACAAGGTCTGACGGCGCTGGCTGCCAGGTGTCTATGTCCCATGTACCCTTTCAGGGCTGCAGAACCACATCTGTGGGCATGCAGACAGACAGGCGCATGATGCTGGCCATGCACCACAGTCCCAGAACACTGACAACTGTGTTTAACGATGGCTCAGGAGTGTGCCACCAAAGCCGGGTGATGCTGTGCTGGGTGGAACCGAGGGTTTTGAGTGCGACCATCAACTGAGCCATATAACTCAGCCTCATAAAACTGAACATGTGCTTTGCGTATGCGTGTGCACACACACGTACATGTATGCCGATGACTGTGGAAGTCACAGCACATCTGATGACCCGGAACTAGAGTCAGAACTGGTTGTGAGCTGCTCGCCTTGGGTACTGAGAACCAAATTGGGGTCACATTGGGCACGGCATAGCTTACATGCACAATACCATGACCCACAGAAGAGGGTAGTTTTGTCACAATTCCTTAGTGGGCTAAATCAAAAGTTAGCTTCCGGGAATGAAGGGGTGGTTCAGGGCTCAACAGCACTGGCTTCTCTTTCAGAGGACCCAGGTTTGATTCCCAGCTCCTGTGTGGCAGCTCACAACCGTTTGTTAGTCCAGTTCCAGATGACCCAACGCCCTCTCCAGGAAATGTGTGCACATTCAGGCGAAACGCCCATACACATAAAAAATAAAATAAAAACAAGACGATTTTCTTTTAGAAAAGTTGGCCTCTGTCTGGATGTAGTGGTCCATGTTTACGACTCTAGTACTTAGGAGGCTGAAGCAGATAGATCGAGGCAAGCTTGGGGCTTGAAACACTGTCTTAAAAACACAGTGGAGAAAAAGATGACTTCCAAATTAATTTCAAAATACAATGTACTTTTATTTGTTTGTTTGTTTGTTTTTGAGGCAGGGTTTCTCTATGTAGTCCAGGCTAACTTGGAACCCACATGACAGAAGGAGAGAACTAACTCTGGCAGGTTGTTCCTCTGACCACCACACATGTACAGGGGCATGACCCCTCCCTCAAGTAAAGAAAGAAAGAGAAAGAGAAGGAAAGAAAGAAGGAAGGAAGGAAGGAAAGAAAAAAAGGAAGGAAGGAAGAAAGAAAAAAGAAGGAAGGAAGAAAGAAAAAGAAAGAGGAAGAGAAAATCTCAGGAAGTAAACAAAATTCACAGGCTTAAGAAGCCAACCTGGAGTACCTGAAGAATC